AATCCTATTGGAGCGATCAAGAAGATTTTACTGTTTTTTTTTTAATATAGAAAGAAAAAAGGTAAGTTAAAAATTTTTTAAACCAATTTAACTATCAACGAAAACATTAATAAAGTACCTTGGCAAACTGAACTCTGGTTTACTATTAACATCAGAAAAACTAAATGTAGTTGAAAAGGCAGAGTGAGAGAAAACAAATAACCCTCCTGAAAATACATTAGCTACCACTTTTATATGGGATTTATCAGCCTTTTCCTTTAAATTCTTAACCATTCCCTCTGCTTTGTTTCCTTTTTTTCCTAATTGCTCTGCTTCTTTTTTATTCTGTTAGTAATATTTGCATTAAAAAAATTAATATTTACAGTATTGAAAAACAAAGGTATCTTAAATATATAATTACCCCAGTCTGGGACATTAAGTAGACCACTGAGTTTGCTGCCGCAGCCAAGAACAAAGGAATAATTGCTTTTTCATAATCGCCCAATAAACCACCTTTTGTTTTAAAACCATAAGTCGAATCTAAATCGTTTGTCAAACCATTAGAGAAAGTAGTGATACTCTTGTATCTAATCATATTATCTAAATCTTTTACGATCCCTGGAACAGTATTTTCTCTTTGTACTTTATCAGTTAAATTTATACGGATACTAAATTGAATATTTTTAATATTGCTGTCATATCCAGAATAAACATATTGAAAATTTCCGTCCGTAGTTAAGCGATCACGTCGGACTGGTACTTTTTCAGAAATTTCATTTAATAGAGTATCAAAGTATTTTGTTTTGTCATCTTGAGAGAGAGCTTCAAATCTTGTTGTTGCACTTGTAGTAAATTGTGCTATGCCAATAGCAGCTTCCTCTGTAAAGAATCATATGTCAATTAAATGCATAAAATTTAAAGTTACTAGGAATTTTATTAATATTTATGACCTGATGATTGTGCAGTATATGCTGAATTACATAAAAATAAGGTAAAATTTAATTATTAATTGAAAAATATACAATAAAAAAAAATAGCGACTAGATATAATGAACAAAATATTACTTGATTTATAATTCACGATCCCTTTATTAATTCCTGATAAGGGTTCACTTAAGTTTTTATCTTTGACAAAATTAGCATCCATTTGAATATAATATTTTTCACCATACTCATTAAATGTACTTCCAATGACTTTTATACTAACGGTTAATCCGTCCGGACTGATACTACATTGATCAGTCATCATTGCCATAGTTATTTGTCTCTTGTTACCATCAGAAGCTCTATATATGGTGATATTTCCCGTCGATAAAAGAACAGGTTTATAAAATGTAATTTTTAGACCGTTCGTTGATGAATCAATATAAGCGCCGTTGGACGGGTTAATATCGCTTATTTGAATATTACCATAATCATTAGCTAAATAGATAAAGATTATTAATACTATCACAATATATTAAATTTATATTAGGTTCAATAATAAAACTTACCGCGGTTAAGGACCTTAGGCAGCTGGGTAGTAAGTAAAGACCAATAACCATTATTTGTATAGGGAGAAGCAAGTAAAAAAGTATTATTATTCCTCATAATAGCAGTTACATCAAGGGAATTTGTATCAAATTGTATCGGTGAAGGAATTTGAGTGTCAGTTTCGTCATTATAAGGATAAATATAGTGAATATTATTAACAGTATTTTCTAATATATAACCGCCAAATGGCATTGTTTTCATTTTCCAACTTTGCTTGAACAGATCGGTTACATTAGGGATATCTTTTATTAATTTGACATTTATTACTGTTCCAGCTGTTAAAAAATGAATTTTTAAATAATATATTTCCGGGTTGTTTGTGGATGTATTAATTATGTTAGCACTAATTACACATATATAACCAAGAATAGCGTAATCACAATAAAGTCCATTATAGGTTATGTTGTTGAGTGTTACTTGATATAATTGTGCTTGATTAAGTGGAAGTGACAGATTGTAGGATATAAAGGACGCATACAACCCACCACGTTTGGCTAACAATGAACTGCCATCATTAGTAAAATTAGCATTCAATATAGCATAGCCTCCATCAACGGTAGATATTAGTGTAGTTTGTTGAGTACTAGTATCTTCTAAAGTAATTGACATATTACCGCTTTTATCCAATAAAAGATTTCCAGATTTATCACTATACAGCAATAATAATAAAAATATAAATATTATAATAATAATGAGTGATTATAAAATTTTTAACTTACCTTTTTTCTTTCTATATTAAAAAAAAAACAGTAAAATCTTCTTGATCGCTCCAATAGGATT